AAGCTAGATGTCCGAAATGAATAGAAGGAGCCCAGTACATTGAGCATCCCTGTTGCCTCCCAAGGTCTGAAATAACAGGTAGCTGACGTGACAAGTAAATCTCTGATTACAGAAGTCCTTCACAAATGCCAGATGTTCAGTTTCTCCCAGGTTCTCCAAGACTCATCCCCAGTTGGTTCATAGGGGCCCCTGGTTCTTGTTTTCTTAACCTGTAATTGATCTATCTTTAGCAGAGGGCTGGACAGCAAGAGGAGCATCCAGGATGTCAGTCGATGTTCCAACGCGTGATGCTTGCATTACTAGACTTAGAGTAACCTAGTGGGTCACGTCACAACATCCCTGCTTCACTATTTAATCTGTTCCATCATTTTTCTTCACGATCTCTTTTTTTGCTTGTGACTCCAAAGTGGGTGAGTTTCCTTTTCTATGCAGTTCTTTGGAGGGGAAAAAGCCAGAATTATCAGGAGGAAGCAGATAGGAAAACCCTTTACAAACATCCCTACTAGAAGCTTATGTCCCTGCTAGGCAAGACTGTGGAATGTGAAAGAACCAAAGAAAGTGGGAGATTGTTCTTCAAATGTAATTAAACATTTTAAGTTGTTCATAGTAAACTTCTTTTTTTTTGTTTTTGAAGATTTATTTGTTTTTACTGGAAAGTCAGATATACATACAGGAGGAGAGACAGAGAGGAAGATCTTCCGTCCAATGGTTCTTCCCCAAGTAACCGCAAGGGCTAGAGCTGAGCCAATCTGAAGCCAGGAGCTCTTCTAGGTCTCCCACTCGAGGACAGGGTCCCAAGGCTTTGAGCCATCCTCAACTGCCTTCCCAGGTCACAAGCAGGGAGCTGGATGGGAAGCAGGGTTGCCAGGACTAGAACCGGCGCCCATCTGGGATCCCCGTGCATTCAAGGCGAGGAGTTTAACCACTGCGCCATTGTGCCAGACCCGTTAGTAAACGTCTTAACCTTGTCCTGCTACAGGTATCAAAGCAGGACCCTTACAGGGGTGTGGGTCTGGGCTTGGGGTTTTGGCATGCCCTATTCTCTGTGGGGTGATCACCTTCCCCTTTGATGATCATGTTAGTTAGTCCAGATTGTATTCTTCATAAAACTCTGCTTTATGCACCACTTTCCATGCTTCATTAAGCCCTGTTTTAATCATGGGTTCATTTTTGAGAAGAGGGGAGGCAACTGAAGCATAAAAATAAGATTATAAATGTAATAGGGATAACAGTAGTATGAAGATGGCATGAAAATAGAATAGGTAAAAAAAAACCTGAATGTGATGTGTTAAACACTTGCAGGCAAAAACAAATGTGAAAACCAGTTCAGTCCCTGCAAAAGTATATATACAGCTTTAGAGTACATCATAGTCAATAATTGTATGAGTAAAGCCATTTCTATGTAAGTAACGTTTGTCTTCTATTTCAGAATTCTGTAAGTCCATAAACAAAGTTGTTTTAAGCATGTTTTTCTCAGTTTAAACTGACAGACTACTTCCAATACACCCATGAAACACTTGTTAATCCTAATCTGGTGCTCATATTTCTGGCTCAAAAATTCATTATGCATTATATATATATATTTATATATGCATTTCCTTCTAATCCATTTTGTATGGACACACATGTTTGCATAGATATACAATAATTAGGACATAAATTAGGAGGGGTCCTGGGCTTTGACCTACTATTATATTTAAAACCATTAAGAAAGAGCACAGGAGCGTGAAAACTTCTCTTGACCTCAAAGAGCTTATTTCCAAGAACTCAAATCAAAACACAGCAGTGACTTTCATTTGTCCTCACAGATATCCTCTCTACAGATTATACAGAGGATGCCTCCTTGCTCCACAGGATGCTGCTCTATCTTAAATGTACAGAAAAACTCAAGAAAGCAGACAGACACTTCAATGTAAGGCTTTTGATTGAAACAATAAGCATATTGCTTATCCTTTTAGAAAAGGCCCTTCTAGAAAGCTCCAAAATTTACTCTGACACATACTTAATGCTTTGATGAATAAACACACTTGCTTATTCACTAAAAAGGGATAGAAAGAGATTCCAGAGCAGTAGGCATTGGACCTGTCACTTCAGCCACCTGATTTCAGTCCTAGAGTTCATGCTCCTATAAACACACACACAGAGGCAGCAGGTGTAGGCTCGCGTGACTGGGGCTCTACCACTCATGTGAGAGACATTAGTTCCAAGTCCTGTGCTTCAATCCTGGATGGCATTCCTGAACCCTCGCTTTGGTTCCTCCGTGGCTGACTGGTGCAGGTATTTGAGGAGTAAACCAGTGGATGGCAGCTCAAGCCTGGCTGTCTTTCTGGTTGTCTCACTCTCTCCATGCTTGTTAAGTGAGTAAGTGCATGAATTCATGTATATCTAACAAGGCAAATGTGGTGCATTTTCTCACCATAATTGACAGTTATTCCGCAAAAATAACTATTTCCTACTTCAGTACCAAAGAAATAACCATATTTGATTCTATCATGCCAATCGCTTTCTCCTTTCTTTAGAAAACACGAATACTGGCACCTGCTTTTGTTTTTTCAGACATATTTTAAAGATCATGGAAAAGGTTTGTGAAATTAATTTTAAGCCAGAACTCAGCTGCATAAACAAAAAGTTATGATAGAAATAGATTTCAGTTTGAATAAATGGAGAAAATATCATAGTTGAAGATAAAATTGATTGCCAAAATTAATTCATAATTTTTATCTAACCACATGTATGTGTGAATAGGTGACATGATTCTATACAGATTGATTTAGTCAAAGTGTATTGAACATAACTCTACCACACAGAATACCTCTCCTGACTTTCCACTCTCCTTGTGAAACGGCACATTGATACATATCCTACTGAAAAATGTGTTGTATTAAAATTTTAGAACACTGAGAGAAGGAATTTTCCAAGTCCTCCACATTCTGATACATTTTGTCAATGGTTCTGAGTCATAGTGAGAACTCTTTATCTAGTCATCTCCACATGACAATCAACTACATGAATGGAAACCAAAATGTCAACATGAAGAAGATGACAAGTTCTGCGTTGAAGGCAGGAATGGTGTGACACCTCTTGTGCAGGACGTAAGGAAATTTAGGTAAAGTCAGCAGCTTCTATCATCAACAGCACAAAGTTCCTATAAAGAATTTCCACCCAAGACCAAGGCATCATCAACAAAGAAAGATAAAATATATATATCTATATATATATATATGTCAACAAATTCTAAGATTAGTATTCAGTGGGGTTGGCTTTCAAACATTTGGACAGTTGATAAATTATGAGCTTTCTAACACTTCTCTCATCTTGACAGAATCAAGAATGCTCAATTCCACTATGATGCTAAGATGATGTCATTTGTGTTGGGCATCAGCATTGTGACAACCAGACGTCACACATCTGATAAATGGGCGACATTTCAAACTGCCTGGATGCTATGCTGAAGACCAAGCAGACTCTGATGCAGCCAATGACAGGGTTAAATAATCTAACAAGGTGGATATCGTTGGAGATTAAAGCAAATCATGTGGTATAGAAAGAATACTTGCAATGTGATGGCTAAAAACATGTAGTCTCCCTGAAAATTACAGTCTCTATGATAAAATATTTTATATAATTATATATTTTTTTGTGTGATATACTTAAGGTAGTGCTAGCTGGTTCTGCTAAGACCACTAGTATACAAGGTGATTAATAGGTTAGCTGTAATCATATTTGACTTTTAATATGTGGCAGAAAATTCTAAGAATATGCTTCTCAACAGAAATCGGCACCAGGGAGGAGGAATACCCTAGGTTTCTGACGCTGAAATCTGAATGCCCATGTGCAAAGTCCAATAAAACTTCTGAATGCAAAACCTGAGGGATTTCTGAGAGAAAGACAAGCTAATACGTAAGTAGGGTTGAAAGAGGGCAATTGGCTCAAAGTTCAAGAAAACACTAATGAATGTATAAGACTAAAATCTTCCCGCTTTCCTGGATTTGCCTTGAAAAACATACCATGATTTCCTCAGGTGAAGTTTCATCTAGAAGAACAAAGCTGTCATAAATGACCTCTTAGAAACAGGGTTCCAAACAGAGAGGGCAGTAGAACAAAGTAGACAATCATATACACTTAAAGTTATGACTCCCTTGTCTTTGACTTAGAAGTCACCTCTTCTGGGCTGTTTGAGCAATGGCAAGTTATTTGACCATTCTGAGTATAAATGAATTCTTCAAATAGGCAGTCATCCACTTTCCAGGCCATGGAAATTAAAGTGATGGAAATTAAATCCTTGACACCTAGCTTGGCATGTAATAAGCATGGCTTTCTTTTTGCCTGTTCACTTCTGTTAATCAAAACTTTTATGGATTTTAGGAGTCAGATTTGCCAACCTCACAATGCCAAGATTACTGTCTCTTGGCCTATGTAGCTAAATGAGCTTGGTTAGTAACTATGTTTCTTCATGTGTAAAATTAGCATTCCAGCACCTACTCTGTTTTCCTCTCTGCTTGTTGCTTTCATGAGAGTTAAGTAAATAATGTCAACAGCACAGTTACATACAAAGCTATCCTCATGCACTGGGAGCAAACTCACCGTGCGTCCTTGTTTCGTAACCATTCTGGGAGGGATGTCTTGATTTCACAATTGGGAGACTACAGGAAGGGCACGCACCTTTCACCAGGTGTCCCAGCTGCTGGATGACAGAGCAAGACAGCTCAGGCATGTTCACCCCCACATTATGCTCTTAGTATTTCTAACATATGAGGTTGTTAGCAAGACACAACGCCTATGCGATTTTTCAAAGCAAGAATCATGAAGGGAAAGTTGATGTGTTGGCTGCTCTTTCCATGGCTGTTCTTTCTCGTAAAAAAAAAAAAAAACTCACTTGCCTGTTGAGAAAAGGTAATAGATGAGTAAACAAATCATGATTAGCAGACAGAGCTAAATATGAACTATGCTATGGCTTTGCCATGTGTGTTCTCAGTAGGATATTTTTCCCTGTTTTTCCCAAAATGACAGAAAAGGAAGACAAATCTATGTCTCTTCATCGTATATTCTAACACACATCAGTGACCAATTAAAAGAAGAATGCCGGTGGCTGTGACTCTGGACAGAGAACAAAGGAGCAGTCCACGAGCCCCACGGGCTTACAGAAGTCTGTCATTCACACTGTCAGTCTTCCGGATCGTTATTCAAGTTGCTATCCCCAATTTCACAGGCTATATCAGATCTACTCCAGCGCCACAGGTAATTTCCCCCTAATGAGTGTGGAATTTGTTCTTTTATTATTATCTTCTGGTTAACATACTCCTCAAACTTTGGGAAATGGATCATAAAAACATCAACTATTACTTCTGTGTGTATATATGTGCATTTTGGGCAAACACACACACACGTTCCACTGTTGAAATGTGGAGGTATAGTACCGTTTACTCAGTGTTAGTTAACTTGATTGTGATTATTATGTTGTCTTAGTTTTCTTTTAAACATACTTTTGCATCGATTTATTTGACTATTTCAGGGACCAACTACAGGAACAAAGCAGTCCATATGGATTCAAGTTCACATAGAAATTTGGCCGATCTCTTAAGCTTTTTTCAACAATCACAAACCAGATTGCAAAATGTGGCTATATTTCATTCAACAAATCTGTATTCCACAGATGTATAAGTTAATAGAGTTGTCATGAATACACATTAGTAGGAATACCAGTCCCTAATTTTAAGTTGCTCTGGGATACAAGGTCCAGAGTATAATTGCTGAGATGCACAGTGAGAAACACCAAGCCATAAGTAGGAACTCTGCATCTCCCAGCCATCATCTGTCCTGTGGGTCAGCCAGAGGAGCTGAGGATTGCATTAGTAATAGACAGCCCCTATGTTATTAAGGTTTCATAATGATCTCTTAAGTACAAGTCCGAACTTGATGAACACATGCAGTGATAGGGGAACGTTCCCTGCACGGGGAGGAGCCCTAACCTCGGAGAGCTTCTAGCTCTCACCCTATATGATCTTCAGGGAACTGTTCATCTCTATCCTTTACAATATTCTTTATAATCAGATTTTAAAATGTGACAAAATTGAAGTCTTATGCTAAGTCTTATACCAAAGACATATGCAAACATATCAAATATGTGGTAATTATTCAGAATGCAAGATTCAGAAAGATTAACTGAACAACTGGAAAATGTAGCAAAATATTAAATTTCAGTGAGATTTCCCAGGAAGCAAGGAAAACGATGGGTGCAAGGTTGTAGGGGAACAGTGTAGGTTGTACAAAACCCACAGGCTTTTTAGTTTCCCACTGTAGTTTCACTATCGTGAGGATCAGAGTCCTTCACTGTGTTTATTTCCTGATGTATCCACAGTGCCTAAAGTGATGCTTTATGAATGGTAACTGTTAATCCAACAATTGAGTTATTCATAATCTCCATAATGAAATTTCCCATCATAACCTCCCTTATATCCTTGTACCTGGAGCCATTTTAATTGGCTGTAAGTTCTTCATGAGGGAAAACTTTCTTGGCATCATCTTCAGTCAACCATGGCACTGGCAAGGACTGCCACACGTGCTCTTGGGGGTTAAACATCACTGGGTTCATGTGTTAGCCCCGACGTACAGCAGGCTTATAGCCTCAGAATAATTATCTCCAACAAAGCCTAAACCACAGGTGTGAATGAAGATTAAATTAAATAATAAATGCAAAACATCTTGTAAACCTCAAATATGACACAAATACAAAGAATTAACATTTCATTAGCGCCTCCAAGGCTTAAAACCAAGAGATTATTCCACAAAAACTTTCTGCATTAGCATTGCTGTTGTGGGATAAGCATTTTTGCGATGCATGGATAAACATTTTGGCAACCAGCAAATCGCATTGTGGACAACTCCTTTTATCATCTGTATTGAAATTGGCATTAAACTAAAACCATGGGGGATATTGAAGATTATGATTTACTTGCAAATAATCCTTAATCTCCTTGTTCTTTAATCTCACATTTGAAAGAATCTAATTTTTTTGACCATTGTCTGAATGCTTTCCTGGTTCATCCCTATAAAATCTATTTGTAAAAGATAGTAATCATCTTCGCAGTTTCTAAGAGAAAGAACTGCAAAAGCTGCACCAGATGACACGTGCTCCTACGGCTTCGTAATCTCCAGGTGTTTACACATGCTCCTCGCTCTCTTCCTCACCTTGCTTTGTTAATGGATCTGTGGCAAAGCTGCTTAAAAGGACTAGCCTTCACTTATTACGAACACATATACAGTAACTTTGTTATGTTTTTCTGTTTGCCAATAGAGACAGAATTTTCTCTTTGAGCAAATCGTTTATGGTGATTTGCACTTACGCTTATTTCTTTAAGTCTTACACTATAAATTTGAATGATTATTATTTTCTGTGTAGGTGCTAACTAATCACACGTTTTGTGTGAGTCTGTGTATGCAGTGCGTACAGGGAGACACTTGTACACACGTGTGTATATTCAAAAAATTCAAGGCGAGTATTTATTATGAGAAAATTGTGCAGGAGTTTCAAAACTTTCTACTAGTGAAGTAAGTTTAACTTTCAATTTTTGCTTTCCATGTGCCTTTAAAGTACTCTTTTGCATATTTGCATATGCTAGACACTTATTGTTTTCCTTCACTCTTCTTATGGAAAACACTTTTTTTTTTTGCCTTTTGTGAAATAAAGCGTCAGAAACTTCCATTAATTCTTCCTGGTCTCATATATAGTTAAAATGGGAAGAAGGCTTTCAAATGAAACACATACAAATTAGATGCAATAAGCAACTCAGCACACAGTATTGTTACTTTGTGAAAGTGACCTTCAGAAGGAAATCATGTGGTGGTTTCCACTAGGAGGCCAGACTCGAGCAGGAAGATGGTGAAGACTCACAGATAACCTGAAGTTTGTGTTCCCAGCAAAAACATCCAGTACCTAAGTTACCATGGTTTCTCACCAGAAATAGAGTCACAGACCCTCAGAATCATCATCATATTGTTTAATGCCTGCGAGATTTCATGCGTATCGAGGCTAATGATATGAAATGTCTTTCACTATTCGGGGTGGTAGTAACATCCAGAAAAAATGATTCCATGTATGACTTTAAATTATATGTAATGCTGCCCTTATTTCTTCTCTTTGCAGGTGAACAATGCACTTTGTTCCTATTTTTAAGGATGGTGAAGTGGTAAACTGGCAAATATTATAAGGACACCCCGAAAGCGTGCTGTTACTATGGCAATAAAAAGAAGAGCCGATATCTAAATTCTTTTTGGCAAAATTCCATTTCTCTATGTGAAATGTTTAGTTCCCTGCATTAAGTGTAAGTAAATAGTCTGCATGTGATATTTTTCAATTGAATTAAGTATTACCCTTTAATTTATATTTATTGAGCAGACACCTGCCATGATCATAGCCATTCAGGACACAAAATGACTAAACTACTTTTCTGACCTTCACAGCATCACAGCCTCTTTGGGAAAATTGTTACTGATGAGCTCAACAGTAACTGATGGTGTGGTAGTGAACTGCACAGGTCAGGAAAACCCTCTTCTTCCTCCCCCACCCTCTCCCTCCTTATTTCTCAGAGATAGCAAACGAGATTTTTGGACAGAGGACAGAAAAAAAAAATCAGAATTTATGAATCCCACTAATAAAAATTCGAGACATAGATAAACAGAACAGATGAACACAATTATGTAAAATGAGTATCTTTTTTTGCAGTTGCATAAACTTTCTTACAAATTTTGTAATCAAATTCTATTTCATGAGTGTTACTTCTTTATAAACAGGATCATCGCAAGCTCAATAGTTTAAACCACACATTTTCTGTAGATCTGGAAGCCAGGGGCGTTCCTTTCCTATGTGGTAAGTTTCAGAACAAGGTTAGATTTTCCTTTGGAGACTCAAAACAACGAAAACCATCCCCTGCCTCAAGCCACTTACTTGCGGTAGGTAAGGCTTGGAGGTTTTATTATTTTGCAGCTTGTGTTTTGTATGCCAGTGTTTGGGTCCTTTAAGTCCTAGAGGACACTTGGGGTTCTTTACTTAGTGAAATAAAGGGTGTAGATTTCCCCAAAGTGTCATTTGCTTCTTCACAGCAGCTGGAGAGAGAACAAGGCTGGCAGACTAGCTCTGAAATATTCAGTGCACAATCAGGCACACAAAACACAAGCACATCCTATGATGCTGCAGTCAGTCTCCAGTCAGTAAGAGCACTACACAACAGGGGTCAGGGCCCCACGTAGTGTCAACAGGAAAAAGCATGAAAAGGTGGGGTCCACAATCTAGCCTAATGAGAATTAGGATGTTGCTCTGTATTTTATAATGCTTGATATCATATCAGCTACATCATCTTGATCAGAAAAGTAACAAAGAAACCAGTAATGTTGGGAGGATTATTGTAAGCTTCCCGAGGGGGCCTCAGGTTGGAGATCTAGAGAACACGGACACTGCGGTGAACATCCAGAAGCCATGCCCACATTCCCTTCTCCAACTGCATGAAGGAGTCCTGGGCACTGTTCTCTCCAGACCTTCATTTGACTGACTTTGGTCCATCCATCTAATGGAGGTCTTTTCTACTCAAAGTCCACTGATTTAAATGTCACTCTTAAATTTAGTATAGCAAGCATCCAGAGGAAGATTTCAACAAGCAAGATCAGCCTTTGCTTAAAGCCTTTATTAAGGCTCCATCCCATGTCATTTTCCCTTTTATCTCCATAGTCTGTCACTCTTACTTTATTTCAATTCCTTGAAGATTTTTCATACCCTGAAGCCTTTGTATATCCTGTTCTCTCTGCTTGAAACATCTCCAAAGCATCAGATTTCACTTTTAAGTCTTTGTGCATATCCTTATGTCCTCTCTGTCTTTTCCTGACTCTCAAAAATAAAATAAAATAAAAGTGTGCATATCTAAGCTTTCCACCACCTTACTGCTACTCCTGCCCCCTCCAGCTTGGCTCAAATCCACCAAGCCATGTCACATAATCTTCCTGAAATTTGCCCATCTATTTTTATGAATTGTAAGCTCTATAAAGACAAGAAAAGAGCTTGTTTTCCATACTATTCCTAGAGTTTTTTGCAGGACTTGACATATTATAAAAGCTGGCTGAATAAATCAATATTTCAAAATCTTATTGTAGTGATAAAGAGGGAAAATAAAGAAAGTAGGAATGAAGATAATTAGGAGAATTAAGAGACTTTTCTGTGGGTACAAAAACAACATAATAAAAGCAGGGGGAAAATGTACAGGAACGATAACACAAGAAGAAAATAAATCCCTTGGCTCAGGAAAACATTTCAGTTGAGCAATACTTCAGTTGATTCTAAAGGAAGATTTAAATAACAAAGATGGCAGCAAAGAAAATAATTAGGAACTATTATAGATGGAGTACTGGCTTTTCAAAGATGAATAGGTTTTATTGTCTATAAGTTGAGGAATAAGTATCCTTATGTTACAACAAGGACTCTGAAGGTGTGATTGAAATACTGGAGTGTGGAGACCATCTGGGTGGACCCAATCTAATTCCAAGATCCTTACTGAGAAAGAGGTCAGAAAAGGTGTAACAGTGGAAGCCATGATTGAAACACTTCACACCTTTCGTGATAAAAATAGGGAACGGATCATGATTGAAGAACTTCGGGAGGCATCTAGAAGCTGAGAAAAGAAGGAAATACACTTTGCCCTGCAGCATAGAGAAGGTATAGAGAGAAATTTCCACTGCAATTAACTCCACACTAGGTGCTGAGAAACTTGAAGGTCTCCTGCAAAAACAGGAACAAGACAAGGGTTTCTCTCTCACATTTCCCACTGAACATGCTGGACATCCTAACTGACGCAACAAAGTAAAGAACAAATTAAAGCCAAGTCAATTGGAGAGTTTACTTATGTTATTCTGTAAATTACGTAATTGTCTATGATCGGAGATACACAACTTCTAGAAGACAACATTGGAGAACACCCTGGTGCCATTTTGTTTGGCAGGTTTTTAGATGTAGCATCGCAAGCACAATCCAGAAAGAAAAGAAAAAGATATGTTGGATTTCATTAAAACTTTTCTTTTTCATCAAAATGAAAACTCATGGAGGAGATACTCACCCAAGTTCTTGAGATGTCTGTGTCTCCATGCCCAGGCTAGCTTCCTGTTAATAACTCCTGACTAGCTTCTCACCAACACAGACCCTACGAAGTAATGGTGACAGCTCAGCTAACAGTGTCCCTGTCAGCATTAACAACCCTGACTGCACCCTCGTTGACAGGCTCCAACGCAGGACCCACCTCAGCCGCCATGGACATCTGCAGAGTGAATGAGTTTCTGAGTCTCTTTCTGTCTCCCCATCTCTCAAAAGAATTTTTTAAAGATTATAATGAAAATGCAAATTAGAAGTAGGGATGAAATATCTGACAAAGGATTTGTTTCCTGAGTGTATAAGAAATTTCAAAATTCATTGAAAAAAAGTGACTGTTAAGATGCAGAAGAATATCTGAGAGGCACCTCCCCAGAGAAGACACGCACATGATAGGCATGGGAAAACATGTTGAACATGATAGCCATTGTGAAAGGACGGGACTACAAAATGACAGCTGTGTTGGAAGAGGTCTTACAGCTTCTCAACCTAATCCCAGTTATACCAATTAACACAGTAGTTACTCATTAGATCTAACACACGAAGCAGAAAAATTGAATTCAAATAGGATGACCATCACTGGATGAATGGAGAAACCTCCACACGTAATAACCTGTGATAAAAGGAAGAATGCTATGAAAACACAATAGGTTGGGGAGGAATACAAAATCTTACAGCTCAGTGAAAAACAGTCTGAAAAACCTACCTGATGTGATTTTAATTGTGAGTGGATGGCATACCGGAAGAGGCTAACTCCTTAGTGAGAAAACAAAGTTAATAGTTGGGACAGGTGTAATGGCTCAACTGGCTAATCCTCAGCCTCCAAAAGCAGCATCCCAAATAGGCAACAGTGATGTCTCGGTTGCTTTACTTCCCATCCAGTTCCCTGCTTACGGCTTAGGAAAGCAGTGGAAGAAGGCCATAGTCCTTGGAATGTGCTCTCATTTGGGAGGTATTTGCCAGGAATTGGGGAGAGAAGAGAGGAAAGGATGGCTTAACAAGTGGAGCACAGTTTAACCACAACGTAACCACTCTTCCTTATATTTGACTAGTAGGTGCCATAACATTCCACCTTTTCAAGAACCTTAAACTCGGAAATATAAAGTGAATCTCAATGCAAACAAGCAACATTATTTTAATATATAAATACTTATTCTTAAGTTGTAGCAAGTGCACCACAGAAGCATGAAGTGTTAGTAACAGAAAATTTAGGAGCTGAGGGATCTGAGAGGGATTAGACTGGAAATCTCTGTATTTACTGATGACTTATCCTATAAAAATAAAACAATGTTCTGTAAACACAAACCTTTGCCTGTAATTACAGCATCCCATGTAGCAGTCACTCCATCTCTAATCCAGCTCCCTGCCAATACACCTGGGAAAGCAACCAAATGCTTGTGACCCCACAACACCCAGAAGCTCCAGGCTCTTGGTTTCAGACCAGCACAGCTCTGGCTATTGGAGGTCTTTTGGGGAATGACCCAAAAGTTTCCTCCATATATTTTTCTTCTCTTTTTGTAACTGTTTTTCAAATAAAAAGAGAAAAAAACTTTTAGTGAAGATTCCTTAGAAGAGACAAACTTGCTATTTCTAGTTCTACTGATAACAGAAAAAAAAATGCAAAAAAAGTTTTTTAAATGGCTAATGCTCGACTTTTTGCTTTGTTTATGTTTCTATTCTGATCTATTTCTTCACTTCAAAAATGTTCTCCGAAAAGATGTATTTTGGAACAGTTGTCAACTTATTAATAGAGGTAGCACTTCCTGACATCAAGTGAGAATCAGCTCTGTGTTTCCACAGTAGAACACGAAAAGGCTTGAATTCCTTAAGGACTCCACAAACTGCTTATTAAACTTTCACAGGCAACTTCAAAAAGTAGACATGGGAGTCAGGTAGAAACAATTTGAAGGGAGAAAAACACACAGAAAGACAACTCCTCTCTTATTCTGAACACAAAGAGGGCTTCTATTGAAGATAAGACTTTTATTACTAGTAGTAGTATTTTCTATAGCAGAACCCAAGAACTCTGTAAAGAAGCAAATCTATTCCCAAGGTCTATAAAACAAGTATTGCCAAAGAGAGGGATAGATCTAAAAGTGAACTAGACCTCTTTCTGATGTAGAATCCTGTGGG